GTGCCCTCTTTCTGGCCTGTAGGCATACACACAGAATATTGTATACGTAATAAATAAATATTTAAAAAAAACATTTTGAGGCAATATTTTACCATATAGCCCAGGTTGGTCTTGATCTCTTGACCCTCTAACCTCAGCTACACAAGTACTGGGATTATGAACAAGTATACCTAGTTTCTTTTTTCTTTTCTTTTTTTCTTTTTTGTTTTGGTTTTTTGAGACAGGGTTTCTCTGTGTAGCCCTAACTGTCCTGGTACTCACTCTGTAGACCAAACTGGCCTCAAACTAACTGAGATCTTCCTGCCCCTGCCTTCTAAGTGCAGGGCTTCAGGGCATGCACCACCGCCCAACTTCTTTTATACATTCTTAAAGAAGATAAGCATTTCTACAATATATGATGGTAGACACCTGTAATTCTAGCACTTGAGAGGAGTGGCCAGCAGTGAAACAGAAAGTTTGTGAGATTGAGGTCAGTCTTGGCTACACAGTAAATTCCAGCCTATCCTGGGCTACATAGTGTCTGTATTAATTAAATCACTGCTTGGTCTATTAGCTCTAACTTCTTACAATACTGTTTGGCCAATAGCTTAAGTGTATTTCTGGCTAACTCCTATATCCTAAACTAACCCATCTCCATTAATCTGAGTATTGCCATGTGGCTGTGATGTACCAGCAAAGTTTCGGCATATCTGTCTCTGGAGGTGGCTCCATGGCTTCTCTCTGACTCTGCCTCCTTTCTCCGAGCATTCAGTTTAGTTTTCCCTGCCTAGTTCTACTCTGCCCTATCAACAGGGCAAGGCAGTTTCTTTATTCACCAGTGGTATTACAGCATACATAGGAGAATCCCACATCATTATCTACTTTTGTTTGGTTATTAATAGCGTATCTTATTTATATATCTGCTTCCCTAGAGGGTTTTTTTTCTTCTTTACTTTCTTATTTTAGACAGGTTCTCTTTTTGTACCCCTGGCTGTCCTGAAGTCACTCTATAGATCAGGCTGGCTTTTCTGTGGGTTCTTGACTCACTGAAGCTTTACCCTACCATATATTTTGCTAGTATTTACTTTATGTTTGGCAACTGTTTAGGTTGGCTTCATACATCATTGAACTTTTTCAAGACTGACGTGAGTCTGTCATATTTCTTCAGTATGACTTTGAGGTTTTATATCAAAATTATTCTTAGGAAAATTCTTTACTGTGTCAAGTGGTTTTATAGTTAACATACTTAATCCATTAGATTTTTTATGATATAATATGAAACCAAGATCTGTTTCCTACTAGTAGTTTTATAACATCATTTATTGAATACTTTGTCCTCTCCTTGCCAATTGAAAATGTCCCTCTTCAAGCCAGACATAGTGGCGAACACCTTTAATAGCAGCACTTGGTAGGTAGAGGCAGGTAGATCTCTTGAGTTTGAGAGCAACTTAGTCTACAGAGTGAGTTCCAGGACAGCAGGACTGTTGAGAAACCCTGTCTCAAAAAGAAAAAAAGAAGAAAGAAAGAAGCAAAGGAAGAAAATGCTCCCTTCATTATAAGCTAGATTCCTAGATATCATTGGCCTATATTTAGGAGCATTCCAACCATTGTGTTTTCCTGATCCTGTAATTTGCTTATCTCTTGGTTCCTAGCATAGTTAGTGTTCTATTATAACTTATATACGCAAACACTTTCCAAGTATCTGTTGTTCACACAAAGAAACCAAACCTGTTACCCAGGTCTAGTCTTAAGATCTCTTTCCAGGCACTTTTCACCATAGTCATCTGCATTTTTAAGTGTGTTTTCATTATTCTTACTATTCTCTGAGCTAGAAATAGCCTTAGTACCGCCACCTACCCTTCTGGAAGCAGGGTCTTGCTATGTAGTTCAGGTTGGCCTCAGACTAATCCTGCTTTACCTCACAAGTGCTGGAATTTCAGGCATATGCCAGCAAACTTGACTTCCATTCTTTACTGTAAAACCCTCCTTTTCTTTGTAGAGCTACTGAAAAACTTTGCCAAGCTTCCTGCCTCACTTCTTTAACTCTTGTTTCATTTAGTCTCTGAGTTATTTCTGTTTGTCTTACTCATTTGTCAACCAGACAATCCACTTCTTAAGGCTAGACCATGTCTCATCAGTCTGTCCTTCTGTTTTACTTTTTGTCATTCTCAGACTTAAAAATGTGTTTTTTTAATGGAATTGAATTTGGATCATGAATATACACATACATACATGCTCCAAAAGGTTAGTGAACAAAATCTGCCAGATGAGCAAAAATTGTGTTTGATAATCTACAGAGACAACTAAGTATTTAACTATATTGGTATGTGACTGGTTTGTTACAATGAAAGGATACACAGCAAAATTGAGGGGAAACTTCCTACAAATTTGTGAGGGTTATTTCCCAATGGAACTCAGGGCATGAATAATTCCTTTAGCAGTTGGCTATGATAATGTATATGCAGTGTTGCCAGCTGGAGCTCACTAGAGACTTAGTTGGCCCAGTGTTGTTACAAAGAGCTTATCATGTGGGCACCCCTTAGTGGACACACATCCACATTCTAGGCTCTCAAAAGGAAATAGCACAAACCATGTAATTTACACTTTGAGTACTCTCCAGTTAATGGTCAGACTCCCCTGAAATGTCAGCCATAGGCCAGCCTTGAAAGCAGACACTTCCAAGGATAACAGTAACTCCTGTTATGTTAACTCTTTTCTGAGAAGTCATATGTTTGAAGAGCTTACTTTCTCTCAAGGGAAAGATTTCTGTGGCAGGAGTGGTGAGGAGATGTGCACTAAGTCCTTTCCCTGACATTGTCTTCCCAGAGGTTATAAGCTGAAGCTTGAAAAAGACCTAGACACAGAAAGAGCTGAAGCCTCTCTGGTCCATGTTCGTCAGTAGTATGTAGTCTTAAGGAGAAAGAAATACACAATATACTGAGGGCTTCAAACTGTGTGTAATTTATTTCTTATTTGAAATGGTAGCAGGAGGATACTTTTGTGTGGAGTAAGAAGGAAAGGTAGTGCTTTAAGACAGCTGCTTGGATAGTAATGGGTAGCAAGGTCCCAGGAAATTAAGATGAGACACAGTAAGACTAGTATAGAAGGAGGAGGCCACTTGTTCGTCCCAGCTGCCCAGAACCAAAGTAACCACACAGAAACTGTATTATTTAAGTCACTGCTTGGCCTATTAGCTCTAGCTAACTCTTAGTTATTGGCTAACTCTTACATATTAATTTAACCCATCTCCATTAATCTGTGTATCTCCACATGGCAGTGGCTTACTGGCAAAGTTTCCACATGTCTGACTCTGACCATGGCTCCATGGCGTCCCTTTGACTCCGCTTTTCTTTTTCCCAGCATTCAGACTGACTTTCCCTGCCTACTTAAGTTCTGCCTTGCTATAAGTCCAAAGCAGTTTCTTTATTCATTAATGGTAATCACAGCACACAGAGGGGACTCCCATATAAGACTATCATGGTAGCATTTGCAGTGATCCTGTGTTGTTAAGAAAGCTTAGCTAGGAGGTGGTGGCTCACATCTTTAATCCTATACTGGGGAGGCAGAGACAGGTGGATTTTTGAGTTCAAGTTTAGCCTGTTCTACAGTGAATTAATTCCCTGACGACCAGAACTGTTACACAGAGAAACCCTGTCTTGGAGAAGAAAAGAAAACAAAACCAAACCTAGACAAGCTAGTGGTGATGTACTTCTTTAATCCCAGCACTGGAGAGGCAGAAGCAGGTGGATCTCTGATTTAGAGGCCAGCCTGGCCTACAGAGTGAATTCTAGAACATCTACAGCTACACAGAAAAACCCTGTCTCAGAAAACCAAAAAAGGGGAAAAGCTAGACAAAATCTAGTCCAGTATTACATTTAAAAATAACTTTCAAATCATTGGAGGAGTGGGAGATCAGTTTGAGAGATGATAAGAAACTATGTCAAGATGAAAGGAGTTTCAAAGTATTACATGCTTTTAAAAATAAGATTTTTCAGTTGAAGTTTTCTTTAGAATTATTGTACTTAGAATTTGTTTTCAAAGTTGTTAGTTGGTGACATTTTCTTTGAAGATATATGGTTTTATATTGTATACTTAATAAAGAATTAAATACAATGCCATCTACAACTTTTAGACGAATAATGTTAAAAAATGTATATGCATGTGCTAACATTTCATTAAGCAAGATAGAAGGAATAATAAGATTTTTCTATCAGCATTGTTTTTATTTGGAATTAAACATTTCCATTCTAATATGAATGCTAAAAATAAACACACTTTTGCATTTTTTTCAGTTTTAATGTAAGAGCCTAGTTAAAAGGTAAGGATATATTTGGATAAATTTTTATTTTCAGTGTCTTTGAAATACATATCATTCTGCCATTTTTAGTTTTATTATTTGCTTAGTTTGTATCAAGTTTGTACTTGGCAGTTTAATGTTTTTGCATCATACCACAATATAAAACCCACACTTACTACTTTTATCATAATCGTTCTGTTCTTGTGAGTTTTTTTCTCATATTTATTGAAACCTTATATCTTTATGTTGACAACCATCTGAAAATTTTCTAAAAGCTTTCTTTGCAATTGTCAAGTCATTACAAGAGCCTATGTAGTTTTGGAATAAGAAGTACTATGCAATGGAAAGGATAACATGCTAGTTAGGCACGTCTCTGCCTCTGTTATATCAGGCTGGGGACTAGAAAGGCAACATTTGAATCTTGAGTTTAGGCCAGAGTGCTTTCCCAGAAAAAACTCCCAAGGAGCACTGTGTTTTCTCCACTTGCAAAGACCAGTGCCATCTAATGGGGTTGTTGTCTGATTCAGTTTTGCCTGTTTTGGTTTGTTCCGTGTTTGGATGGCATCTTCTGGGTTCCACATTACTTTGTGTGAATTGTGAGGTGCAAGTTAGCACTATACAGATGAAAGCATTTTGACAACTGCACTATGGGTCAAACTCTAGCTCAAATGTTATAACTGACTCTTCTATTGAAGCTCATATTTCTCTTGTTTTCTCTTGATAGGAATACACTATATTGCCACAGAAAACCAACTGGGAATTGTTGCAATGGAACTGGCCCTACATGAGGACTTAACTGAGGATGTAACTGAGCATCTTGTTTGGTCAGGAATTGGAATTGACACTAAGACACTAATACTGTAACTTTCTTGATAAAATATCTTTATTTTTCAGTAGTGGAATACTGCAACTTTTTTACACTTAACAATCACTGTTAATCACTGTTAATTCAGTTTTAAAGTTGTATTTAACTACAACTCTTTTGCAAAAACTCTCAGCAGGATCATTTGGGGGCATTATTTGTTGATACATCCTTTTCTGAGTATGGTTTCACCAAGAGAATTTAATCAAATTATATCTAAACATTTATATGTTGAAAGCTTTGTTTATGTTATAAAAACAAACATCAGAATTATATAGTGTCTATACATGAAATAACTTTAAACAGTGGCCTTACAGTAGCAAATTTTATACTGGCTTTTCTTTTTCTGATGACATTTTGACTTCTAACTTGAAGTTTTCTGAAGTTTCTGGAGATCAAGGCCTATGTACATCATCCATTTCATAATCAAATATAAAAAGCCTAGAGAAAAGGTGCGCCTTCTCCATCGGGTCATGGCAAGTGCACTGAACTGTTAGTAAATGTGTGTCTTGGGTATTCCCATGACTATTTGCTCTTTTCTAGTTTCAAATGCTATTGTGGAAAATATGTAAGGATTTTGTAATCTCTATTCCATCTTCTTTTCCCTCAGGGCAAGCTTGTGCATATTATATTTTTAAAGGCTTTTAAAATCTGACAGACAAAATTACATATTTGAACATTGTACTTTACTACTGTGGTATTAGACATTTTGCGGACCCATCTTACAGAGGGCATATCTTTGGTTCAGTTGATAGGTGTTATATGCCTACTATATGTAAGATAGGGTCCATGAGATTTTCAATACAGTCTGTAGGTCCTGAAACTTACTTCTTTGTTTTCTTTCCTTCTGTTTAAAAGTACATACACATTCCCAGTCAAATTTTTGTGAAATATTTATTTGTAAGAAAATAAAATATTGTTGCTCTTTCTGCTTGAAGCTATTACCTGGCAGTTGGTGAGAACATGCTTTTAATTCTTTATGAGACTGACAACTCTGGGTAATCTTTGTTGATGTTGAATACTGGGGAAACACATAATGATGTATATTTTCCTTATTTTCTTTTTTAAATTTTTATTTAAATTCTTTCTCATACAAGGACCACTCTTCTTTAAGTGGGTCAGTGATAAGGGACGTTGGAGCTTTGATTCGGTGTTAACTGGATGATGAATAAACGACCTGATTTTTGTACTGTGTGCCATTCCTAGAAATCAGGTTTTCCAACCCTCCTATACATGAAACTGGGGCTAAGGAGAAAATCATGTATGCAGTAATATGGCAAGTTTGCATTGACTCAGTACATAAAAAAAAACTACTTTAATTTTTTTGAGTCAGGGTCTAATGTAGCCCAGGCTAATGCAGAACTCAGTATATAGCTGAGGATGAATGACACTGAGGATCTCTAGAGTGTTGGGATTACAGGCATGTTGCCACCATTTGTGGTTTTTATAAGGTGTTTCATGCATGTTATGCAAGAACTCTGCCAGCTGAACTACATCCTCAGTCCATCAAATTCAATTTTTTATTTTATTATTTTATGTGTATAGATGGTTTTTACTGCATGTGTATCATGCCATGCCCACAGAGACCAAAAGACGACGTTGTAGCACCTGGACCTGGAGTTACAGGTGGTTATGAGATGCTGGTACCATTACCATTAGATGCTGGTAATTAATTGAGGCCTCCTGATGCAGCAGCTGGTACTCTTGACTGCTGAGCCATCTGTCCAGGACCTACTTTTAATATAGTTGATTTTATTTGTTCCTATATTTTAGTAGACGGTTCTGAAACTATAGTAATCAATCATTTGATTGACTGATCTGTGTGCATGAGTGCATGCGTGCATGTATGCATGTGTGTGTGTTTCATGTAACAGTGAACAAGAAAAAGAATGAGGCACATGGGCCCTGTATGCCTTAGTGGTTTCTGTAGTCTCGTAAGGAAAATGGCCATGTACATAGAAGTAAAGCCTGATAAACAGCTTGACTATAGATGTTTTATTTATTGTAGCTCCTAAAGATAAGATTATTAATTTAGTATTTCATTTAACAACTGATTCCCAATTTAGGCCTATTTGGATAACCTCTTGGCATTGTCTCAGAATTCAAAGTTTTATATCTGGCAAAATAGTATTCAGAAATTATTATTGGTATAAGAAATATTTGCTTTATAAAGCACACACCAGGTATGGTGGTTCACACTTGTAATCCCAGCACTTGGGAGTCTGAGACAATAGAATTGTCCCAAGTTTGAAATCTGCCTGATTTACATAGTTAGTTCAGGCCAGCCTGAGGTACTGTGTGAGATGCTGTCTTAAAAATTCATAAAATATACAAATAATCCTGGACACATTTAAAATTAAAATAATTTAGAGATATGGTAGAAATAGGGACCATGTCAGTCTTGTTAGCCACAATCCTCAGTATCCAACATCCTAGTTAACAGTAGAAACTCAATAAATGTTAACTGAATGAGAAATCAGTAAGAAGTGAGTAGGATTTACATATCTAAATTTTTATATGGAAATTGAACAAGACCACTTTCACTGGCCTGAAAAAGAATCTGAATTCTTAAATGCTTAACTGCCTAAGACTTGAGGAGTTTCTTTTTATCTTTGTATGTGTGAGCGCAAGTGCTCATATGTCATTAAACACATGGAGGTTAGAGGAGACTCTCAGGTGTTGGCCTTTGCCTTCCACCGTGTTTGAACAGGGTTTCTTGTTTGCTGTGTCATATGTCAGACTAGCTGGCCTGCAAGCTTCCAGGTACTCTCTTTTCTCCATCTCCCATCTTGCTGAAGGAATGTTCAGATTACAAGCATGTGCTATCTTACATGGCTGTGTGTGGGTGCTGGATATCGGAATCGAGATCCTCATGTTTGTGTGGCAAGTGCTTTTACTCACTAAGCCATTGCCACATCCCAGAAAGGTTTTGGCTGAGTCCCCATATTATTGCCTCCTCTCATTTCTCCCATTTGCTAGACTTGTCACTGGTAGTACGGTGAAAATAGTAAGATCACCCCTGCTCTGGAAATTTTCAAACCACTAGAGGGAACAATCCACAAAGATAGAATTTCTAAATAGAGCATTAAATACTGTAACACAGACACAAAAGGTTGAGGAAGAAGTTGATTCCTGGTTGAATAGTTTGTTCAGTTTTTTTTTTTCCTATTTACTAGATGAACCTCTGACTATTTGTTTGATGGGTTTTCTGGTTTTAAAAATGGATGTTAGTTAAAAATGAGTAAAATGGGGGCTGGAGAGATGGCTCAGAGGTTCAGAGCACTGGTTCCTCTTCCAGAGGCCCTGAGTTCAATTCCCAGCAACCACATGGTGGCTCACAACCATCTATAATGAGATCTGATGCCTTCTTCTGGTATGCAGGCATGCATGCAGATAGAGCACTGTATATACAATGAATAAATCTTTTTTAAAAAGAAAAAATGAGTAAAATGTACCCGGGTTCTGCTGTATTATTTCTTTTGTTTTGTTTTGGTTTTTGAGGCAGAATCTCATTATATAATATAAGTACTAAAATCACAGGTATGTGCCACTGTACCTGGATTTTTCTGTTATTTTTACAAATAAATGTGAATTTATAATTATCTCAGTATAAATATAGATTTAAAAAAACCTACCCATTGGGGACGGGAGAGATGGCTCAGACGTTAAGAGCACTGGCTGCTCTTCCAGAGGACCTGCCTGAGTTCAATTCCCAGAAACCACATGGTGGCTCACAACCATCCAAAGTGAGATCTGGTGCCCTTGTGGTAGTAGCACACGCTTTAATCCCAGCACTCAGGAGGCAGAGTCAGGTGGATCTCTGTGAGTTCGAGGCCAGCCTAGTCTACAGAGTGAGTTTCAGGCCAGTCTACAAAACTACACAGAGAAACCCTGTCTCGAAAAACCAAAGGGGGAAAAAAGATCTGGTACCCTCTCCTGGCATGTAGGCAGAACACTGTATGCATAAGTAAATCTTTAAAAAAAATAAAAACCTGTCCATTACCATATCACAGAGAGAACTCGTATTTTGGAATATACACTTATTTTTTCTATTGAAAAATATATTTACATTAAAATATTTTATTATTATTTTTTTCCAATACAGGGTTTCTCTGTGTAGCTCTGGCTATCCTCTAACTAGCTGTAAACCAGGCTGGCTTCCAACTCATAGAGATCTGCCTGCCTCTGCCTCCCAAGTGTTGAGATTAAAGGTTTTTGCCACCACCACCCAGCTCATTTAAATATTTTAAATAGATCCATACCAATTTACCATATTTTAGTTAATGTCTTAGGGCTACTGTTTCTGTGATAAAATGACATGACCCAGTGCAATGTGGGGGAAGGAAAGGGTTAATTTCACTCACAGTTCTATGTAACAGTTCATCATCAAAAGCAGTGAGGATAGGAACTCAAAGTGAAGGCAGGAGCTGATGCAGAGGCCATGGAGGGATGTTACTTATTAATGGCCTGCTTTTTTCCCAGTTTTTGAGATAGGTTTTCTCTGTGTATCTTTGGCTGTCCTGGAATTTGCTCTGTAGACTAAACTCACAGAGATTTGCCTGCCTCTGCCTCCCGAGTGCTGGTGTTAAAGGTGTGTGCCACTACCGCCTGTCATCAGCCTGCTTTCTTATAGAACCCAGGGTCACCTGACCAGTAATGTTCCCACCCGCAATGGGGTGAGCCCTTCCCCATCAATCACTAATTTAAATAATGCCCTATAGGTCTAATCTTCTGGAGGCATTTTCTCAATTGGGGCTCTCTCTCTGATGACTAGCTTGTGTTAGCTTGACATAAAACTAGCCAGTACTGTGAATGAACTCCCCTTTTTTTGTGTGTTGTTGTTTGCTTGATGATGCCTGGGCTCAAACCCAAGGAGCCATATTTGCTAGGCAAATGCTTAATCATTGAGCTATATCCCTAGCTCTTAGACATCTTTTTAGAGAAAGATGGGAATGCTTTGAGGCAGGAACAGGAAAAGTAAAGCTAAGTCAGAAAGTCTCTCTGTATTCGCTAGCAACAGACAAATATATAATGTCTAGCAGCCACCAGATGAGGAAGGGAGATGTGAATACAGCTAGGTGTTACATGTCACCACCAGATGAGGAAGGGAGATGTGAATACAGCTAGGTGTTACATGTCACAATGCATGACTTCAAACCCTTCCACACGAGTGTCACCAAATACAGGTGGCAAGTCTTGGTAACAGAGAGCTTCCAACATGACCAAAAGGCTGACAGGATGAAAAGGCCATGTGGAGGAAAGTGAAGGTAAGCCTCCTGTGCTGCCCTTGGCACTCCACCACAGAGTGACTAGGCATTCCTGAGGTACTCTAGAGCTGCCTGGAGAAGTCAACATCCCAGAAAGAAGGGGCACCTTTGCCTGGTCCAGCGAGCCTCAATTTAGACATTCAGTAAGGGCTCAGAGGAAAGGGAACAGCAGGTTCCCCCACAGAATTCAGCACAGCAGATGATTGCAGCTTCAAACCCATGAAGATAGAACCAAGACACTGAAATTGAATCATACTTGTAGAATAGGAAGTAAATGTAATGTGATAAAGTTAAACAAAAAATGTTGACAAATTGTAGCTTGTGGAGGGAAATGGGATGCACTCTAAAACCATCCTCCATGGTCAGCTGTCATGTTAAGTCATAATATCCTAAGAATTCTAAAACCATCATCCATGGTCAGCTGTCATGTTAAGTCATAATATCCTAAGAATTCTAAAACCATCGTCCATGGTCAGCTGTCATGTTAAGTCATAATATCCTAAGGTTGCAATCCAGAAGGCATGAATATACAGTCCAGTCATGGTGGAACCACTTGGGCAGTACTGTGGTGGCTTGAATAAGAACAGCCCCCATAGGCTCACATATTTGAATGCTTAGTCACCAGGAGTGGCATTATTTGAGAAGGATTAGAAGGTATATCCTTGTCAGAGGAAGTATGTTAATGGGGCTGGTTCTTTGAAAAAACTCATGCCAATCCTGTATCTCCTGTACCATCCCTACTGTGGATCAGGATGTAGCTCTCAGCTACTGCTCCAGCACCATGCCTGCTGTCATGCGTCCTGCCATGATGAGCATGGACTAAATCTCTGAAACTGTAAACACGCCCTCATTAAATGATGTCTTTTAGTCATGGCGTCTCTTCACAGCAATAGAACAATGACTAAGACAGGCCCTAATAACCAATGTTAAGTTTTTCACAGCTTCTTGACTTTCACATAGTGGTTTTTAGTATAACTCCAATGTCTGGCAGCATTCTATATCAGCAGCTTCTTCAATTTTGCTTCTGATTTTTTTCTATTGGATTTCATTAAAATTATAATAAATATAGTGAGTGAATTTGCTATTATTCCTGGGCATACATATGAATGCATAGAGGTCGGAAGCATACTTACCCATTGTTAACACTTGGTTACATAACTGGTGGGATTTGGAAGGACTGTGGTTTTCTATAGTTGTCACATAACAGAACACCTAGCATTGTTATGAAAGTCATTCTCTTAAAAGTGGTAAGAACATTTCATCCTGAATGTCAGTCACTAAAAACATGTGAACAAACATTACCTTCATTAGGATGTCTGCTTCACTGTAGCC